AGTGCAACACACTATCCGTAGACATTGTCAGCGACCATATCATGCCACACCACACAGCTGCGAAGGCTGACAACAGCGGCTTGGGTTGCAGATGAGGACGCCTCTTATTATGTCGCCGTGTCTGAAAGTTGAGAATAGACAGAATACACAACGGTAGATCTCGATGGGCGAGCGGGGGAAACTCGTTTTCGAGCAACTTAATACTGTGCCTTCTTGCCTGCCATATCAATCGCCAGGCCAAACGAAGCAGGCACAGCAAGCAGGCTGTCCTAAGTTCCACGTTACTTTGGTCTACCTAGTTGGAAACGGTCATCCTATTTCATTAATCTGCATCAGCATTTTTAATCCCCGGTTGACATGCCACGACTATAGTGTATTCCGGGCAGTTCTATCAGCTGTCGGCTGATGTGCACCTTTTTGGAGTGAAGCTCCAGACCGCTCAGGAGCGTGGCTGAGGCAAGAGGGTCAACAAGGAGGGGTGTGAAGCGCGGTTGGCGATGGCCGCATGATGAGGTGCCCCCCAACATCAGCTGGCGGTCCCGGGACAAACAAGGCGGCGGTTCTGGGTGCCTTAGCGTTGGGGTTCGAAAATCGGAAGGGTAAGGTGAGTTCGGGTAGAATTAGAAAGCCCAAGCCGATTGAGCGGAGAATGTGCCTGGCTGAGGTAAGCAGCCTGGGTGGGTCTGTGGTGAGATTCGGTCAAGGACGGTTCACCGAGGGCTGTACCAGGGCACCTTTCAGACGTGCCTGTAGCATCACTGGCGCCTCCTCAATCTCCTCCTGTTGGCGTATTTCCAATTCATTACAGCGTCAACGGTCTAGCAACTACGTATCAGGCATGCCGCTCGCTCGTCAGGACATAGAGACCGGCGGAGTGTTCATTTCTCTTTCGACTTGAATCAAGGCTAAGAGCAAGGCACTGCTGATATATATCCAGTTGGAGACTCACCGAGCTGACTCTCGACTAAAAGGGCCATGGAGTACGGCCCCAGTCACTTCGCCGAAGCGCTGGTGCTCAATGGTCCACCTTCGACAAACACGATTCGTTTCACCGTTCAACAGCCATTTTGCAGACGTTCTAGACACTCTTCGTGAGTGTACATTTCGCAGCAAGGGTGACCTTACAATAAGATGTTCCCCATGCCAGCATACAATGTCCACTAAACCAGCGTCGAGAGCTTGTCGCATCATTGGAAACTCGTCTGTATTGTAACACGTCCAAAGGAAACCTCCGCAATCCTGCGCTCTGTTCGGATTCCAGAAAGGCGGCACCGCCGATCTGCCTAGAGTGCATCGTCAGTTCCGCTGGCAACATTTGCATCGCTTTCAGTACGCCTGCCAGCGCTCTCGCAATTGCCAGGCATGCCCGCTTAGTCCGGTCTGGAATATGATGGGTGGATCTAGATATTTCGGGAGACCCTGCTGCCGAGGACACAGAATTACCCCAAGCTAGCTGGACCCCGAATCACCAACTGGCGATGTCGGTGACGCAGAATTGCCCTACAACGGCATTCAGGTTGATAGGCTGGGTTCCGCCACTAATTACTACCTCGCACACACCAAGGAATGGGCCCTCAGTGACTGTATACACAGTATGTATGCTGCCCTGGTTGGTCGTCTTTTGCATGTGAGACAAAACAGATGGTACACGCAGAGAGATGGCACTAACCAATCTGCCAGAGCACCCAGATCTTGGGGTGCAAGTATCATCAAATCAGACCACCACCTCAACCACAGCGGCGGGACATTAGTGGACGACTTGACAGGAAACCGAATACGAGTCGGCTGCTTCTGATTCGCCAATGGGTTGGTGCGCCAGTGGACTCCCTGGCCTTTTTACCCAACTTGAGCCAAAAGTCCAACATCAAAAATTGGTCAACGCGGGCCCTGGAAAAGCCCATCCCGCTGGATCATGCGATTTCCCAAGTGACGAACTGCCCACTGGGACATTACCTCGGACGACTCTTCAAGGACACAATGGACTTGCGTACGCCGACTCGCCCGAGTTTCGCAGTTGCCCGCCCACGACTGGAGATGAGTTGGATACAATTTAAAGAAGGGCCCATCCTGCCCAGCGAAATCTGTTGCCTTGTCGTTGGAAGCTTATTCGGCCTTGACTTACATCAACGCTTGCCATCTTGACGCTTTTTTTTTTGTGTTCGATCATCTCAGCTGTACCCTATCCCCAAACTCTAAGATCGGGTACGTGCCGGTGTCGAGGTCCCTCGACAGAAGTGTTGACAACCTTGACAACTTAAACCTAAGTGTTCTGGTCCCCTTTTTCTTCGAGCCTCGCCGTTCAACCAACATCCACCCGTCTTCAGAGTAGGAGTCATTGACTGTCGACGTTGGCTCAGTCTCTCGGTGTCCATTCCGGCACTTTGATATTCAGCCACCCGCCTCGCAAACGTCGGACAAGCCCAGGGTGCAGTCTGCTACAAAGCTCACAGCAATATCCCTGTCCAAGTCTTCTGGTGGAAGCTCTTACCGACGTTGAAAGCAAACGCTGCCGATCCCGCCCCTGGCTGTGTCCCCGTCACTCGGAAGCCAGGCCCATTAAACCGGAGGTAAGGCGCATCTGCCCACCTTCTCATGGCCCCAGGATTTCCATTAAACATTCGATGATCTCAGACCCCACCGAGTTATCCCGGCCGCGACCCTCCGCAACTTTGCGACCTCGATTCGTCTACGACTTATAACCTGGATCCGTGCTGGCCTGTTGCGTATACGTGACCACCGGTTCTTCTTTCCTCAACTGCGGTCGCTGCTATAGACATTACTACAACGACAATACTGGTCATCCACCGATTGCTCTTCGATTCGACACATCATGGATGTCGTTCTCGAGGTGGTCGACACCTTTGTTGGCGACCAGCTCTACGCCAAACTCCTCCCAGCTGGTTCAGCTCCATACGACTTCCCCCACCACGCCAACGCCACGGCACAACCGATCTCGACATGGCAGTATAAGCCTTCGACACAAATGCTTTACCTCGAGCCTTCCGAAGCCGCATATATGAGCGCCTGGCCAAGAGACAACATCTTCCGACAATTCACATCTCTCTTCCTCGTCACATGGTACGTTGTTGCTACAGCTCCTCTACCCTCACCGTGTTTCTGACCGAGCTGACCAATACTGCGAATGTGCCAGGTTCTTCGGCATCCTCAACTACTTTGTCTTCGCGACTCTGTCGTACATCTTCATCTTTGACAAGAAGACGTTCAGCCACCCAAAATTTCTCAAGAACCAGATCCGTCTCGAGATGAAACAGGCCAACATGGCCATGCCCGTCATGGCAATCTGCACCGCGCTCACCTTCGTCGCCGAGGTGCGCGGCTACTGCAAGCTCTACGATACCACGGAGGAGGGCCCCGGCCGCTGGTACGACTACGCGCAGTTCCCGCTCTTCATCCTCTTCACCGACCTGTGCATCTACTGGGCTCATCGTTGGCTACATCTCCCGCTCGTCTACAAGCACCTTCACAAGCCTCACCACAAGTGGATCATGCCCTCGCCTTACGCCAGCCACGCCTTCCATCCCCTCGACGGCTTCGCGCAGTCGGTCCCTTATCACGTCTACCCGATGTTGTTCCCCCTCAACAAGCTAGCATACGTGGCCCTGTTTGTGTTTATCAACTTTTGGACCATTCTCATCCACGACGGCGAGTACATTACCGACAACCCCATCATTAACGGCTCCGCGTGCCACACCGCCCACCACTTGTACTTCAAGTAAGTTTCTGACATCGTAAGAGAGCTGAGAGTTTTAGCTTTCTAACCGACTTGACAGCTACAACTACGGCCAGTTCACCACCCTCTGGGACCGTCTCGGTGGCACCTACCGCAAGCCTGACCTAGCCTGGTTCAACAAGAAGACCAAGATGGCCAAGGAGACGTGGGAATCCAATATGAAGGAGATGGAAGACATCCAAAAGGAGGTTGAGGGCGACGACGACCGCCAGTATGTTGCTGCCGAGGCGAAGAAGACGAACTGAGAGCCATTGTCCAACGTGTGCTGAACATGCTCAGCGCAACAAGCCAGCCGCAAGCGAACAGCTGGAGAAACCACTTCCTAAATTTTTTTGTAATGCTTTGGCTCTTGCCATACCTTTGACTGTATATATAAGAATCTCGGCACAATCCGAATGCTGGGCGTAATATGGATGGATGATGGTGCTATAATGGGAGCGAAGCCATCTGACGGTTCGCGGGTGTGGATGAACCCAGGGTATAATAGCTAGTAGTGCGACTGGACCCTTCAAAGGTTTCAGAACGCCAACTCCAAAATGACATGAGGCTCGAATAAGAGCGTGCTGGCAAATGTCGAAGAGAAGCGGGACTCGAATATCCTATCTATCGGACTCCCGGAAGCAGGGCAACCTGGAGTTAGGTCACAGGGTTAAGAAAGAGGGTGAATGTCTGAACTGGTAACAAAAGTGAATATCCGTTGAAAGTGTATCACGCGCAAGCTCTACGTTGATAGATAGTACCAAAAAGACGCCGATCCATACCGGCGCAAAGGAGGCTTTGTCAACCAGACCCTTAGAAAACGTCCACCACCGGGAAACCCAAGAACATAAAAAACAAAAAGAGGAAGAAAAGCCCGCTGCAACGCCCGTTTGCCCTAGGAAGTAGTGGAATGTCGAAGAATTGATAAGCAAGGAAAAGTAGTTGGTGGCCTGTTTGGGCCCGTAAGGCTTGGTGGTTGTTGGGGATGAAAGCTCAGGAGTATTGACTGACCCGATGCAGTGCAAAGTGATCAGGAACGATCCGTCGTGGTCATTTCCCTCTTCTCGGACAAGAGAAAATGGTGCAGTCGTCAGTAATGCGTATCGCAGGCTGGTGCAAATGTATGCTGCAAACGACGTTTCCCGCCTACCCGATCTGTGTTGGGTATCCTCTTTTTCCTCTCTCTCTCTCTCTCTCTCTCTCTCTCTCTCTCTCTCTCTCTCTCTCTCTCTCTCTCTCTCTCTCTCAAGGTCGCTCGTGAATATCACGCCTAGCTGAACGTGACAGCCTTGGGATCCAGAGGCCTTCCATCCGGTCCGATACCGTTGGCCTTGAAGCGCTGCTCCATGTACACCCTGCGCGCGTCATCAAACTTCATGCGGCGCTTCTTCATGATCTTGAGAATCTCCTTCTTGCTTCGATCGTCAAGACCTGCGCGGCTGTCGCCGGATTCGACATTGCCCGCCAAGTCAAAGGTCGAGCTCGAGAGGCCGGCGTCAATGTCGCCGACAAAGGAGGAGGGTAGGCGGGAGTAGATGTAGTCGCGGCCGGGGATGGGGAGGTCAGGAACGAGATGGAGCCAGTGGCCGCGGGTGAAGTAGAGGGCCGTTGCGGTGATGAGGAGGAGGAACGAGACGGAATAGAGAAGGTACGACATTTTGGGCGACTTTTCGCTTCGAGGGCGCGGTCGAGATGGAATGACGTTTGGCTGGTCGCCGATACGCTGGTGTGGTTGCTTCGCGATCGCCGGCTGCTTCGGTAGCTAGGCTCCGAAAAGCTAGTAGTGGTGGTGATCGTCGTGGTTTCGAATGAACAGAACGGAAGGAAAGGGAAGTGAATAGTGTGGAAAAAAGAAGTCACAAAGAGAATAGTGTTTTGGCGCAAACGGTCAGGGACTGCCGTTCGAAAGGATCAAACGATCATGTCGGGACCTGCAAGGAGACGGTCGCGTTTGACTCCAGGCACAGTGAGGTTATGCGGATTGGAAGTGTAAGTGGTGAAGTTCGGCGACGAGCCAGGCGTACCGACCGACGTACGATGATGTGGACGTGCAGTGGTGCGGGCTGCGTAAGTGCGCTGGACACTAACACCACTCAGGCCCCCCAGTTGGCCTCTTTTGGGAATGGAAGAGAGCCCTCAGAGACTCAGCGTCGCTGAAGGTGGACTCGGGCTGTCACTGCCCCCCGTAATCCCGTCTGATCCTGCAGCTTTTCGACTTCCATGGGGATCCACTTACTAAGATCCTGGGCATGGAGCCAGGAGCATTCGAGGGCATACGTAAGGCTTGGGCGCAGGGCAAACGCAGGGTACCGCGGCAGAGGCCAGGGCCGCAAGGGAGGCCGCTACGGATGCCGACGGGCAAGCTTTATATCACGTGAGCGGTTCAGTCCCCGCCAGCTGGGTCCCCCCGTACTAGCTGCCCGTGCTGCAGCTGCCATGTATCCGTACCTTCCACTGAGAACCAAGCTGGAGACCACTGAATGATCCAAGGGCCGGCGCAGCATTTATATTGCGTCACTGGTCTTCATCGAAGATGACTATGTTGAGAATTCGTTTGATGATTATAGATGAGACTTATCAACTATCTGTGGACATACTCTGCAACATCACTCTTCGTGATTGAGGCCACGCAACGAGGAGATGAAAGGCAATTTGCATGACACACGCAACTAAACCTTTTGCATAATAAAGTCCCAGGAGTTATCCCAAAGCTTGAGCTTTGGAAACTTGACTACCCCCGTAGCTGGGGCGGACTGGCGCTCGCAACTTGGAAACCTTGGTCCGGCCCGAGAAAGGTTTGCTTTTGAGGAGTAAATGTGCCTCAGCTTCAGCATCTACATAGGAATCATTCGTACCTATTCTGGAGTCAATATCACCTTTAAACCCAATGATAAAATATATGTACCTCTGTCACCTATTACTCCATCGGTTGTCTGAAACTTGAACGCAGGGAGCTAACCTCAGAAAAGCAATAGAGCTGCTTTGACATACTGCCTGTGAGACGGTAAGATTTCCGGATATAATCGCGGGGTTCCAAACACATAGATGCAATCCGCCGTTAGGCCATGTATGCCACGATTTTGATATGGAGACGGCATTGTCTCCGTATGGTAGATTGCTGGGATAACACGACGATGGCATGTCCGCAGACGAGAAGTATCGCTGCAAAATCATTTGCCAGACACGTAGATCCTATCCCCTGACGGGAGACCATTGTTGTGCATAAGACATCATCATAGTCCTGCAGCATGGCGATATTGTGTACATAAGAGTGAAAAGCCCCTCAAGAGCGCTCAAGCAGCAACCGTCCTTGCCGCCATTGTCCTTCTGGATGGCTCACGGACAAGAGCATCATAACAATTTGGAATAAATTCTGAAAGAAGACAGTGACCCGGATCAGAGACACAGGCGGGCGGCTATGAACTGCTTAGTATTGTGCACGTATTCAAGGACGAATCAATGTGTCGAGCCAAGTGGTGAAGCTGATTAGAGTGCCTACCTTGGTAGTGCCTCTTACAGACGAGTACATCTGCTCTCACTTACAGAAGAAGATCGACAACTGAATTGAGTGCCTTGAATACTCTTGGGGTTCGCAAAACCGGCCTCTTTGTTAACGTGCTATACCTATTGTAATGAAGTACTACACAATAGACTAGATAGACGCGCTCACAAAAGACCGAGGGGTTTTGTTAATAGGAGATGACATTGAACAGGGCGATCTAGGCCGAATCTCGAACATGTTGTCAACCGGGAAATCAGGACAGACCAGAATGATATAGGAAAGAAGGTCGAACATTACAGGCCTTATCAAAGGACTATGCTTTAGACTATATTGTCTTGCGAATATCAACTTCTTGAGCCTACCCACGGATGTCGGAACTGGCACAATAGTCTACTCTTAAACCCTGAACTGATCGGAGAAAGAGCTTGAACCTGCCGCACACTATTTAGTACGTTTGAGAACTACGGTAAGAGAGCTCCGCAACTGCGGTCGACGTACATGGCGACATCCATTTTCTCTCCAAGGGGACGAGGTTGTACTTGAAGCCGGCTCAGGATTCAAGTGCACCGCCATCACCAGCCACACTCAGACCGGCCCGCCGAGGAGGGCTTTTGTGCCCCGGAGGGGAACTCGGTGTGGCGTCGTCGATTGAATGAGTGGGCCCTAGGGACGCTAGTCCGCAAAGCGACTGCTAAGCGATAGCCCACACATTCAATTCAGGCCATTGAATTCTACGAACACGCAGACCGGCATCAGAGCAATCGTGAAGGTATTCATCAACCATTCCGTGATCCCTCAAATCAGTCAAAATGGCCGCCACTCTGCCCAACGTTTCCGCCGACCTGATCTGGGAGGTCGTCCGTAAGTCTCACCGCGGCGCTCGGCTGCCAGCGATGCCGAACACGGCCTGAATGCGCAATTTGGCTCACAACTGCTTTTTTCTCGATACAGGCGCCCAGAATGCGTTCCTGGTCAACCGCAACGACGCCGGCGGTCTCCAGCTCTCTCGCGACCCCCTTAACCTGGTCAACAAGCACTCCCGCAAGGTATGTTGGGATCGAATCGCCAGAATACTGGCGGGGTTGAAGGGCATCTTTGGCTAACTTAGACCGCAGTACGCCGGTTTCGTCAACGACAAGGTACGATTACACCCCAGGCCGATCGAACTCGATACCCCCCCCTCGCTCGAACGATTCGACCATTCGCAACACCACATAACACCGAGATGACTGACATGTGACGATTAGGCCATCGGCGTTGTCCCCAACGAGAAGGGTGGTGTCAAGGTGATCAGCAAGAACCAGAAGAACTTCAACAAGCCCTCCAAGGGCTACACCGAGGTCACCTACGGCGGCAACAAGTCTTCCCGCAAGTGAGTTTTGGACCTCCGCTTCAACCGCAACTGTGTTGCCGTAATGCGGCACATGAAACGGGGAAAGCACAAGGATTCAGGAGAACAAGCATGACTGACGGCTGTTAAATCATAGGACCTACTCCGCCGTTGCCCGCCAGGCTGCCGCCGGCGGCTACCGTGGCGACCTCCGCGAGGCCGCTGTCCAGCGCGTCTCTGCCATCCGCCGCTCCCAGCGTGCCGTCAAGGCTACCCCCGAGAAGAAGCCCCGCGGTGTCAAGGCCAAGGCCGCCGCCGCTGCCGAGGCTGAGGCATAAATGTTGAAATGCTGATTTAGCGGGACGAAAAAAGAGAAAGAAACAGGCTTGGTTTGGGCGTTACGTCGAGCAAATAGAGAATACCTTTTTGAGGGACACAGGCGAAACAAATCAAAAGCTTGAGTCAAAGGCCACAAAATAATGACTGGGACTGGTTTTTCGTTTGTTCTAAAAGAGTGTTGCTGTTTACCCCTTCGCATTTACTTGATGCCATGCGTGTGAGGGGTTTGTGAGGCTTTGGGCCGACGACTTGGGAGGGTGATGATAATGCATGCTGGGGTATACCTTTTCTTACGCCATGACGTGCGCCTTCACAAAAAGGAAAAGCTCGGAGCGGGAGTGGAGTGACGGTGGTCGAACAGGCCCGACATCGAAATAGCAGAGTAGCCGGGTTACGGGTCACGATGTTGTCGATGCCGTGGTCCTCGGCCATCACCCGGAGTTGCCCGACTAGAGTAGAGGGCGAATTCCTGCTGAACCTCGGGACCACGGGCAAGCATCGGGATGTCGAGGGTGCCGTTCGGCTTTGGCCCATACCGTCTTCCTATTTCACCCCCGAAAAATGTCGTGTAGCGGAGCGGGCTTTTTGATCGTAGAGTGTCGTCGGGGTATTGATGAATGATGACAGATGAGAATGCTTCTGCATCTTGCACGGAGTAAGTCTTCGCCGACATTGACCTGATTGAGATACGTGGAATGGAATTTGTGCATACATGGCGGGGTAATTTTGCCAGCCGGGGTTGTATAGTTGCTCCTAACATGGCATTTCTAACACAATGGTTCGTACTCTTGATATTGTGAGTAATTCGTGCCGCAGTGCAGGTAATTCTTACATTTTCCATGAGCAATATCTGAATCTCGTGGAAGCAACGACGAGTGAATATGTATTTTTAGTGAGCTGTCTCGCCCGCCAAAATACCACAGACAGGGCCCGCAACTTATGTTTTGCCGAGCTGTCTCATCGCCGAGGATAGTGATAGCTATCACGGTCTGAGGCACGTCACAGGCTTTCCATAGGAATAACGGGGCCCGCCTTTGCGTTCTTGTTTCTACCGTTCCCGCACCCGAGTTTTGGCTATACATAGGAACAAGCTACCCCTGGAGCTCGGGACGTCGGGACGAGGACGGAGGACCGTTCATCAGCAGGAAAACATCGGAAGGCATTGGTCCAGCTGGCCGGGAGTTGACGGGGCAAATCGAGCTTCGAGTTACCGTGTTAGCCTCGTTCGTCTCTCACATGCATCAGACCGTAGGTGAATTGCGAAAGAAACGGGTTGACGGCGGGTGGTGCAATTGGTTGCAGGAACGTTGGTGGCAGGGGATTGGCGCAATCGGTGCTAGGTATCAAGCAAGCAAGCACTGAGCAATGGACAAGAAACACACAGAGCACCTAAGGTACCTGTAAAATGTATCTTTATATTTCCTTCGGCGACTGCTTCCATGGGCTGGGCGTGTCTCAGTGGCCGCCTTTGTTTGGGTTGAATGACGAGGTATCTGCGACAGCTATTCCCTGGTGCGGCAAGCCGAAAGGTACCTTGCACTTGCTTCTGCTTCTCTCTTTGTTCACTCTGCAGCTCTCCGATTCCCGAGACAGCAGCAGCGGCGGCAGCAGCAGCAGCAGCATCAGGGCCATTAAGCAAGCAGCACGCAGTAACTGGTCCGGCTAATAAAGCACCGCAACCGCGCAAGTATAAGCTACAGGATCGGACTTGCTGGGTGCAGCGGCGCTGTACATGAGGTACAATGCCGTAACTACCTACACCCGCAGTGCTGCTGTCAAGTCGCTTTTCTGCGCATCACTGGCGCCTGCCGGCGCTACCACTTCGCCTCGAGGAGGAGCGAGGAGCAGGCAAGAGCTACAATGGAAACTTGAGCCCCCCGTGCCTGCCCTGCCTCAGAAGCGGCCCCCCATGGTCCCCTTCTCACCCTCCAAGTTGCCCCTCTTTTTGACCCCTCCATCCAATGATACAGGCAAAGTCCCACGGGACGAGGGGTGGGAAACCAAAGGTCGCAATTCTCCCCGCGGTTGAACCTACGTCCCCGCCGACAGCCTCCGGACTAGGTATCAGCTGGCTCAGACTACTTCTACGTAACCTTGGCTCGGTTTGCTCTCCTCTCTCTCCTCTTCTGGTCTCCCCTTTCATACTAAAACAAACGACCTCCCGCTCTTGTGTAATCCATCTTTACACACTTTCCATCTTACAAGCAAAACCTCCAGTTTACCAAACCACTGTACGTTTGACGATGACCTCTCTTCCCCCCCTCACCTTAGTACTTCGCAAGCTTGGATAATTGTAGCGAGAGCTCCCCACACTTGGTCTCGTACCATGCGCCAGAGCTCGACGTGTTAAGCGAGCAAGCTTCAAGATCACCCCGCTAATCCGCGAGAACCCTTCAGACCACCCTCCTTCTTCATCCATCTTCTCTTCCCAGACCGAATCACAAGAAATCACAATCAAAATGGTCAAGGCCGGTATGTTTCCGCCACCTGTGATTATCGCGCAGAGCCTCGTCAATCTAACCATTTCTCAGTTGTTGCTGGCGCCTCTGGCGGTATTGGACAGGTACAGTGAAGCCGGAACCCCACGTGGTCCGCAAATAACGTGCGCATTGGCTCACCATCAACCTCTCTACTCTAGCCTCTGTCCCTCCTCCTCAAGCTCTCTCCCCTCGTCGATGAGCTTGCCTTGTACGATGTCGTCAACACCCCCGGCGTCGCCACCGATCTCTCTCACATCTCTTCCAATGCGGTACGTTTCATCGCAGTCTCAATTGCCTCGTGGTACCCGTAGTATCACTTGCTAAACAAAGTCGCCGCAAACAGAAGATCGCCGGCTACCTGCCCAAGGATGATGGCGCTAAGGCCGCCTTCAAGGATGCCGATATCATCGTCATTCCCGCTGGTATTCCTCGTGAGTTACACCTGCGGAGCTTCGCCCGATGCTTCTTTCTAACGGGAAATCCACTCTAGGCAAGCCTGGCATGACCCGCGACGATCTCTTCAATATCAATGCCGGTATCGTCAAGGGCCTCATCGAGGTTGCGGCCGAGGTCGCCCCCAAGGCCTTCATCCTTGTCATCTCCAACCCCGTCAACTCCACCGTCCCTATTTCCGCCGAGGTTCTGAAGGCCAAGGGTGTCTTCAACCCTCAGCGTCTGTTCGGTGTTACCACTCTTGATATTGTCAGAGCCGAGACCTTCGTTGCCGAGATCTCCGGCAAGTCCACCAGCGAGCTCAATGTTCCCGTTATTGGCGGTCACTCTGGCGAGACCATTGTTCCCCTCTTCAGCAAGGTCAAGCCTTCAGTGTCCATCGCCGACGACAAGTACGATGCTCTCGTCAACCGTGTCCAGTTCGGTGGTGACGAGGTTGTCAAGGCCAAGGACGGCGCTGGTTCTGCCACTCTCTCCATGGCCTACGCTGGCTACAGGTAAGAAATGGCACGCTCGACAACCCAAAGGTCAGGGACTGACGTGTGATAGATTCGCCGAGAAGGTCCTCAAGGCCCTTAAGGGCGAGAAGGGTCTTGTTGAGCCTAGCTACGTCTACCTCCCCGGCGTTCCCGGCGGCGAGGAGATTGCCAAGAAGACCGGTGTCGACTTCTTCTCCGTTCCCATCGAGCTTGGCGTAAGTTGCACAGCATTCCATCCTGTCCCCTGTCCAAACCTCAACGGACCCATACTGACATATTCGTAGCCCAACGGCGCTGAGAAGGCCATCGACATTCTTGGCGACATCACAGAGAAGGAGCAGAAGCTTCTGGAGGCTGCGGTTGCGGGATTGAAGGGCAACATTCAGAAGGGTGTCGAGTTCGCCCACAAGGCTCCCCAAAAGTGATTCCCCCCTTTGTACACTTGTTTTCAGCAACAGCCCCCGAACCCCTCTCGAGGAAGCTGCATTACGACAGCTTCCCAAAATGTAGCCAAAAACGGTGATAGATGAAATACAACCGAGGGAGAATTATGGCTGATCGACTCTTCTTTTTCCTAGGCTGTGAGGTGTTGTTGGTCTCGCAAGTGTATGGATGACCAGCGTATATAACACCAGCTGAGATCTCTTGAATCCGCGGTACGTAGGGCAATGGCGTCGGTAATTTTGGATATGGCGATAATTGCTGCTGGTTTATAATTGGAGTTAGACACCTTGGGCATCAACTCGAATGACCAGATCTTTGGTCGATATTCTGCAATAGTCTAGATCTTTCAACGCTTGCATGCTGTGAATGACACTCCCGTATGCTTTCCCACGCGCCGATGGTTTGGGACAGGGGCAACTCGCGTAATGTGTGAAGTTGGGTATTATGTGCTCGACGGCAGTGTCTTGATTTGGAAAATAGCTGCCGGTAGCTCGTTGGTCTCGGCCTGGACGGTGGCGTTGATACCTAACGCCGCCAGCGCTCCGCGCACAATTCCGCACGGGAACCAGAGGAACTGTAGTCAGACAAGTCAGCACCTTGTAGGTTGTCGTATTGATAGATCGGCGTAGGTTTAAACGTACCGGCTGTGCCCGAACAACCGCCTGTCCGCCAGCTTCTGTGCTCATCCTCGAGAACGGTTTGAACGAGTTGTCTGTCAGTACGTAAACGCCCTATTTCAACAGACCGAATTAGCCAGCCAATTCTTAAACCACTCGTTTGGAGTGTCGCCCTTAACCAGAACTTCCGGTAGATAGGTAGGATATCGCCAACGTACCCTGTGATTTGTCTTGAGGTTGTCAATCTGTTTCCTAAACACAAGCGACCAAAGATCCTTGCAGACAAACTTGATGACGTCGAGCGTATCGTTGAATCGCGGCCGGTCTCTAGAGAATCTAAACACCAAGGTCACAGACTGTCAGCTTCCAATCGCTGTATGAGTCCCAATACTGTATCTCCATCCCCCTCTTGCTATCGTCAAAGACGGCGGAGAGAGAGAGAGAAGGGGAGAGGAGGCACAAAAGGAAACATACCTTTCAACAAGCCCCTGCCCAACACGATACCCCAGCGTCTCAAGCCGATAAAACACCGCATCTCGCTCCTCGTCCTCATCCAGTTTCCTGACTGTGCTCCCGCCCGCAGCCCCATCCGCGCTCGACGGCGCGGGGCCCCCGTCTGTTCCCCCGCCCTGGCTGTGGCTCACCGACGACAGCGCGTCAGCTGAAGCACCTCCTCCTGCAGCGGCCGCACCGCCACTGGTCCCACTCGCATCAGTCGGCGCGGCTTCGAGGTCTCTCGTCACGCGAAAGGCCATGGGCACGAGCTCGATGAGGAGGAAGTCTAGACAAGAGGAGTTGAGGAAGGAGGCCGACGGGTCCGTGGCGTTGTACGGCGGCATGACGCTTTCGAAGGACATGGCTTCTTGCTGGGGATTCAACTGTGGTGTGGGCGTGGAAGAATGGTCGCTTTCTTTTCTCGCTTCGTCGAGTAGGGTTTCGCGCGGAGACTGGCTTTCTCGAGTATGGTTCGTTTGATTTGGCTAGAACTTGTTTTGCGATGAAAGCTTGGTGTTGATCCAAGGCAATGGAGAGTGGGCGGCGAAGTTCGTAAGAGTCAGCTCGGCGTGTGATCAGAGATGGCGTGGATGCAATGGCGCTTGCAGGAAATCGCAGGAAGACTTTTGGACTTTGTGTCGTCGAGGCTGATGTGCTGTCCAAGGTAGGTAGCAGATAGCTGGAGGTGGATGAACAATTGTAGGCGCTACCTTAGGTACCTTGACTGAGGTAAAGAGCAAGGCCGGGTACGTACCTGCTTTGACAATGCTGTGGAGCTGGCCTCTGAGCTCCTCAGGGTCCACCCAACAGAGGTTCAATTCCGCCTCGACAGGGATTACAGTAGGCAACTTGAGCGGTACGCTGGCACGCGGTCACGGACGGGTAATGATGGACGTGGACGGGGCGGAAAGTTCTCAGAGTGATTTCATCTTATTGTACGGATGTGATATCCGCAGCGTAGTGTTTGGTATTTGTACCCATGCTTTCCTAAGGTACCAAGTTGGCAAGGTCTCCGAGGCATCTACCTCACATCTTAGTAGAGCTCTGCTCAGACACCTGTTGTCGCCCTGCTTCATGCCTATGGCATAAGGCTATTGGGGCTGTTGGAATATGTTTTGCCTCCTAAACGCCTGGACAGCTATCCATCCGTCCCTTTCCACGCCGAAAGAAATAAACACATACATGAGCCACAAATCCGCCTGCACTAGGTGGGGAAGTATGTACGTGCTGACTGAGGCGGCTAACCTCGTGCTCCGTATCTCGCAGCTCGTCAAGAGGGAATGCCAGGGTAGCCTTCTCAGAACATGCTGCTGCTGTAACCATTGCTGTTGTAGTTACTCGATCCCGGCCCCTGCAATTGCTGTCGCTTTGGAGGCGGAGCGACTGGCTCATCATCGTCTGATAGGGTCAGGTCTATTGTCACCCTATCCGAATGCAATCTCTTGGCACTTGTTGTGGCCACACCCCGCGGCATCGTCGAGCTTTCTCGGGACATCACCGTTGTAGTCGGAGTTGCCGTGCTGGCGACTGACCGGTTGGGAGTTTCGAAGTTTCGACTGCGAACAGGGTTGACCTCCACGATGCCCCAATCGTCGTCATCATCATCGTCATCGTCAACAAGGCCGCTTCCACCATTGGTAGGCCTATTCTCGTCCTGTCCTGTGTTCACTCGCCATTGCCCGTCTGGTTCAATGGTCACTTGATCGAGAGACTTTGATGTGTTCGCTAGGATGTCTCTGACGTACCTTTCACGGCTGTAAGCTTGAGATTGTGGGGATGAGACATGGGACTTACTCGTCAACAGCTAGCTGTGCGTACGGCGCCGGTTTATTGCAAATCGGACAAAGCCACTGAGGGCCCTGCTCTTGCAATTGGAGGTACGACGTTGCGTCGAAACACTGAATGTGCGAGCAGTTGACAGAGCGGCACGGGACATCGAGACGCATGTAAGATAGAGGACATTTGAGAGACAGGACTTGAGATGTCGTGACGATATCCGTGTCCGCCGCTTTCTTGCTAACTGAAAGGGTTTAGCCTCTTATTGATAGTATCGGAGTGAGTCGGCAAAACTTACTCTCCTCAATTACCTTATTTTTGGGGATCTTCTGCCCCTTCTTGATATTGTCGGCCAGATCCTGCGCCGAGGTGATACGGCAGACGTTGAGGACAAGATAGAATTTCTGCAGACAACCCGAGGGTCAGCGAAAAAAGACTGAACAGGATATTTAGATTGGTAAGTTGGAGGAAACACACCTTTTGAGTCAACGCATAAGTGAACTCAACGAGATTTCTGTTATCATTTTTCAGACGCAAATAGCTCGTAATGTCGACTGGCCTCGTGGAGCCTGGCTTGTTCTTCAAGCCTCTGAGATTCGCCTTGACCTCATTGCCGTTGACCTTGATCTCCGACTGATGAGGAAACGCGATGTCTTGGACGCCGTTGCTATCTCCGGCGCAGAAGACCATGATGCGTAATGACTTGTCGTCGATAACTCTGTTGAGATTATGATTATCGCTGACCTTGACTGGAATCGAGACCATGTTTCTATGCTGGCTCATAGCTGATTGGGAAATTAGCAACAGCCAAGATGAAGCATAAAATGGCGACCTACCATCGCACGAGCGCACATCCCCGACCCGGAACTGGATCTCGTAGAAGGGACTGTTTTTGAAGGAAAGCCCTGCATCAAAGTTAGGCGTTTGTTCAGAGAATTTTGAGTGAATGACGCACCGCTTGATCCGTAACCAGGCAGGGCAGGGCCATTCGCACCGCTGGGACGAGCATTGCGCCCCCAGTATTGGTCTTGTCGCATCATTGACACTGGCGGAGTCGCTGTGGCAGGACGTCCGCCCTTCTGAGAGGCGGGCGAAGCGGAGGAGCCGGTTCTTGTGGTCTCGATGCTTCGCTGTATTTGCTGGAAGCGAGTCGCGTCGCTGTTCTTAAAGGCTTCTTCGATAGCTGACGGGCGAAAGATGTTAGCCATGGGTAGTTCTGAGAAGCAAAATTCGCTGCCTAGAGCAATGCTCAGACATCACAGAGCCCGCGAAAGAGCTGAAGCCAGGGAAGGACCGCAAAGGAGGGCATTTAGACGGCCGAAAGGGCTCAAGAAGGAAAAGTACTCACCACTGACGATGCGACTTTGCAGAGCCGCCTTAACGCCGCTGCTAGTGAGCCCGTTGAGCTGGCAGATTTGGGATAATTGGCGATTCAGCAGCTGGTTGCTGTTCACCAGCTTGACCAGAGCCTGGAGCTCATGCCTCTGTATGGAGGTCATGGTTCTCGGGCGAGGTGAAAGGGTTGTGGTGGTGTCTTCGGTGACAGCCTCATGAAGGTTCGCAGGTGCGACGTCGGATCGACTTCGGTTGTTGGTACCTGGAGGCGCCGTCGACAGGCCGTGGGGGTATGTGGCGGATGCTTCTCTGCGTCAAAGTCGTCGGTCGAAGAATATGTGAAAAAACAAAGAAGAGAAGGAGAACGACGGGCCTCAAATGGAAAGAACAGTCATGGGCGCAACCACACGAGGCAGGAGCGACGAGGCTCGTGGTGCGCGCCGACAGGCAAGAGCCAAAAGTGCGTGGGGAAGTTGCAGTCGGATCGGTCGAGGAAGGCAAGGGCAGGGTAGGTAGCTCCTGTCTGTACTGCTTGGTGGTGGTGGTGGTGGTGGTGGTGGTGGCGGCGGCTCTGCTGCTGTGCTGCCCTTCCCGTCTTTTTTTTCTTCTCCTCTCTCTGCTTTGCGACAATGGAGATAGCAATGTTTCCAACTAAGCCAATAATAGCAGATAGCAACCTTGATGCAGGCGAAATGAGTAATGCACTCACTCACCGATACAAACTTTATTGCATCGAGCAGAAAGACGAGTATCACGTCGACACCAAAGGCAAGAGCAACGGTACCAGTTGAGCGGAAGGATGAAGTGAGGTCAAACTAGGCCGTGGGCTATTTCTCGGGTCGGCAAAAGTTTGATGTCATCCGCGACTGGTGTTTTTGGGGCTCTGTGAAGCCGAGAGTCACTGGACGGGTAGGATTCCACCTCGAGCAGCTGAATACCTTGGGACTCTAAGGTAGCGGCAGTTAAGCCTTACTTTGGGTGTGGGCCTATATCAAGGCAAGTGAAGCGTGAACGTGAGTTATCCGAGTGAACTGCTGAGGTGGAATTCACAGTTGGTGAGACTCAATGATGATGTGGACACTGGCCGGGAAGGAGGCAGGGAATGGAGACTCTCTGTGGCTTTTTAGGGGAGAATGTGTAGTTGAGCAGCCCTGTCAGGCAGGTGAGAAGCCTGAACCGATCGCTATCTAGTGGGTGATCCGCCGTTGTTTCAGCATCTGTATCCCCTAAGGACCGGACAACGCGGATGAGAAACCAGAATGCCTGGGCCATCGTCCCATCGTGGAAACCACCGTCAGCCAGAGGCGCCTTCCAGGTGTTTGGACGAATGTGGGGGTGTCAATAGCCGGCAGCCCCCGCGACGGCCCATTGACTGAGGTGAAGGTGGTCTAGCCCATGTGAGTGAGACGCCAGGATGGATTGCTACCGTCCAAAGCGCTGCGGCCTGCATACCCTTCCTGAGTGGACGACTGGATTGGCAGGCGGGGCACGGCTGCAACCACCTGTGTAAAATTTCCTACCATCACTCAGTGAAGGCCGTTTGCTTTCACACAGTCACTTTCACCGACTCAAATCCTCGACGTTTCTCAGTAATCCAAGGGATAGTAAGTAAGGTTGTTTCTCACTCAGCCTCAGCCTGCTGCTCATTTCTTGCCTGTATAAACGCAGCGAGTCGTCACCTCAAATCATTCATAAATTACACGCCAACCGGCACATATCCGCAGCAATGGCCAAAAGCGCAAGAGCAAGCGTTATCAAGAAGAACAATCAGCGACTCAAGGCAAATGTCTTTGGTCCCGTTGAGCAAGCCAGAGCCGAGCGTCTCTCGGCGAAGCTGCTAGAATTGGCAAAGGCCCCCAAGCCTGAGAGGGAGGCAGACATCAAGATGGATGTTGAGGAGCAGGACGACGATGGTGCGTTCCCAGCCATTTTCCAAGGCCATTCCATGAGGCAAGAAAGTTTCGAAACTGACATTTCAAAAGCGGAAATCAACGGTGATGATGAGAAGAAGGAGGCCAAGGCGGATGACTGTAAGCTGAGCTCACACAATGGTTTCCGACTCACAAAGACTGACTCTCGTCACAGCCATGGACGTTGACTCGGCGAAACCCAAGCGTCGCTCTGGAAGAATCCAGAAGCAAAGGAAGAAGACTTCCAAGGTCGTCTTCCCCAAGTACAGCGACCGTCGTGGAGGCTCCAAGGGCGGAGTGTCCAAGAGAAAGTAGAGGCTCGTGTCCTTTCACTGGTGGTTCCCTTCGCCTTTTGCAGCATAATGGGCGAAGAGTCGCGCTCGATCGAGAAAAGACCCAGCGCACTTACGCAGCGAGTCTCGTGATAAGGGACTCATTCCTGGCCATATCCAATTCCTTTTCCGGCGTTCTTGTGAATAGTGGGATACTAAAATTTTCATCGGTTATTTTGGGGGGGTCATTTCACACTTTTCACCCTATTGAGAGAGTACATTGGAGAAGCGGTCAAAAAGTTGATAGACCGGTAGACATGGCACTGGGCATAGCCAAATAGCTGCCAGACGAATAATGAAGAATCACTATCAACCCCCAATATCTTTTTCACGTTATATACTCTTTAAACGCACTCCATTCATTGATACTCAGTCTTGCGCCGGGTGAAGCGGAAGAATGTTGCTCGTACCGGCCGGGGTTCTCTCTGCTCGGACTTTCCTACTAAGTTATGTTCTTGACCAATCACCGTCCAGGCGCAACTCCCTCCATTTCGGTTGCATGTCATCCCTGTGCAAGAGCTGTTACAGTGTCCTCTCAGCTCCCGAGGTCCTGTCACGTCCATCATGCCTAGCGATGTACCAGGGTAATAATCTACCTGATTACTCCGGACCTCGATACCTTACCATCCCTACAGATACCTTACGCATACTCTTTAGCTATTTGCTCCGCCTGCTGTACACTCGCTTTGCCCATTTGGGTCTAAACGACTGGATCCCGAGAACCTTGACGGAACTGCCACCGTTGCCTGCATATTGGCGACTTCACCCGTCTTCCATCTCACCGTGGCTTGCGCGCCGTTCATCCCTTGTCGCATCATGATCGAATAAGCCGACTACTTTCTGAACGTGATGACTTTGTTCTCAAGCCATCAAAACAACTCGACAACTTCAATAACAAACCGAAAGTAAACGTGGCCTTCTTATTGCGATTCTGCGGCCAAAGGTCATCTTGATGGAGACGCGGCGAACATGTCTTTTCGGTACGGCCCGGGCTTCCTGGCAGCTCTTCTCACAATCGCCAACATCCTGATTCCATTGGCGGTTTTCACGTTTGCTACCGGCTTCTTTCCGTACAAGCCGGTTCTACCAGGTTTGGCTCAATATGAGGCCCTTGAATATGGCCCGCCGCCACAGGCACCCTTCGACCGCCTCGTTTTTATGGTCGTCGATGCGTTGCGAAGGTAAATGCTGCTCATGGTACCGCTGGTTTTTCGATAATATTAACAAAATCATAGCGATTTTGTGTACTTGAACGGTACCGGCTTCACATATACTCAAGAGTACGCCGACGAGCATCCTACCGTCTCACTCTCGCCGTATTAACCATGTTATAGGCTCATCCGCGATGGTGCCGCCCTGCCTTTCACGGCGTATGCGCGGTCACCAACCGTCACCATGCCCAGAATCAAAGCCATCACCACTGGCTCGATCCCGTCTTTCCTGGACGTCATCTTGAACCTGGACGAAGCAGATTCGTCCTCGACTCTCGCTGCTCAAGACACCTGGCTTGCCCAGATGAAAGCCAAGGAGACGGGGAAAATGCTCATGTACGGCGATGACACATGGCTGAAGCTCTTCCCGGGCACTTTTGATCGTGCCGATGGCACTGCAAGCTTCTTCGTAGCAGTGCGTCGTCTTCATGATCCATCCCTTGCTGTCCCTCAACTGACTGGCCGAAGGACTTCACCGAAGTGGACAACAATGTCACCAGGCACATAGACAGCGAACTGAAGAATGACGACTGGAGCACGCTAGTTCTCCACTACCTTGGCCTCGATCATATCGGGCATAAATCAGGACCGCGAAGGTAAGATTAGCTTTGGATCGCCCTCGAAACCCCCCTTGCTGACTATTGCCAGTTCGCACATGGTACCGAAACAACATGAGATGGACGGTATCGTGAAGCGTATATACGATGCCATGGAATCACGAGAACATATGTCTTCCACATTGATGGTTCTCTGCGGAGATCACGGTATGAATGATGCCGGCAATCATGGAGCTAGTTCCCCCGGAGAAACCTCCCCGGCGCTCGTTTTCATATCTCCCAAACTGAAGGCCTTGCAACGGAACCTCCAAGCCCCTGTTCCGTTTCGGGATGACTTTTCCTACTACACCAAGATTGAGCAGTCAGATCTGGCACCCACCCTGGGTGCTCTGCTGGGCTTCCCGGTGCCGCAAAACAATCTCGGCGCCTTCATATCCGACTTCCTCCCTTTCTGGCCCGACAGTGAGTTTATACGGACCCCAACTTTGATTGCGTAGTGGCTCACACTTGGCAGGGAATGATCAGATTCAATTACTCGTCCGCAATGCTCGTCAGATACTAAACATTGTGACAGCAACTTTTGGCACCGAGATGTTTGACTTGGGGTCTACCTTTGACCAAAAGGTCTGCTCAAATCCTCAAGATGATGCCCAGGAGCTAGCTTGTGAATGGCACCGCGTCAATGATGCGCTCAAAACCATGAACGGTGAGGCAGAGTTAGATCCAACCTGGCGTGAAGCCATGTCAAAGGTACGTCAACACTCTGACCTCAGTATAGCAAACCATGAATCAGTGCTGACATCCAGCAGTGGCTCAGCAGAGCCCAGGATCTGATGAGTAGTATGGCCAGTAACTACGACATGCGAAGGCTACATATCGGCGAAGCAGTCGTCGGCCTCGTTGCCGGCTCACTGATTTTCGGTGCTCGACTTAGTCTAATACCGCTACTGGCCATCTCAGTCACATACGGCATCATGATGTTCGCGAGCAGCTACGTGGAAGAAGAACACCATTTCTGGTATTGGGCTACTTCGGCCTGGCTGGGCTCTCTGGGCATCAAAAAGATGCAGTCGTAAGTACCAAGCACACAGCTAGCAGGCATAACCACAAACTGACATGGACTACAGCACCCGGTCGCCATCGGGAACACTCGTATCTGTTCTCATCGCTCTGGTAGCAACCAGACTGATCCGAGGATGGAACCAGACAGGCCAGAAGCACGCCGGCGAGCCCGATATCGCCAAGACCTTCATCGTCACACGCCCTCCCGTCCTTTGGACCCTCGTCAGCGTAACCTACCTCTTCCTCTTTGCACAACTACTCAGAAAGCTCCGCGGTCTTCCCCACGCCGCCGTGACAGCTGTATCAGTTCTTCTGGTCCTCTCCGCCTTCACTTTCAAGCTCGCCTTTACCAACGAAGACGCCCCAGAGCTCGTGACCGGCCCCCTAGCAATCCTCAATACCCTCACCCAGCGCATCTCCCTCGTCACCCGAGCTCGCGTTGTCTTCGCCGGCATCGGCGCCGCAGCCCTCTACTCATCCTACCTAGCCCTCGCCAACCCAAAAACCGAAGCACGACACACATCCCCCCTCCTCCACCACCTCATCACGCTCCTCCTCGCAACCCAATCCCGCGTCACAAACATCCCCCTCCTCCTCCTCTTCACCCTCCAACTACCTCTCCTCGCCTCCCTCGATCTCTCCCTTCCCCTCCTATCGACGACCTCCCTCCTCCTCCAGTACGCCTCTTTCTTCGCCTTTGGCGGCACGAACGCAATCTCCTCCGTCGACCTCTCGAGCGCCTATAACGGCGTGGCCGGCTTCAACGTCGTCGCCGTCGGCGCCCTGACATTCGTAAGCAACTGGGTCGGCCCCATCTACTGGGCCTCTGCGACGAACCTGCTACTCCTGCAGTACCGCGGCCGCAGGGCCGGGACCGACGAGGGCAAGCATGTGTTTTTGCGACACGTAGGGCACATGACCTTGTTCACGGCGTGCAGCGCTGCGTTCGTCATGGTGGCGTGCGAGGCGCTGCGGACGCACCTGTTTGTCTGGACCGTCTTTTCGCCAAAGTACCTGTACTGCATGGCCTGGACAATTGCGCAGCATCTCCTCGTCAACGTCGTGTTTGCTGGCTTGCTGTACCGCTTAGGCTCGGCTTGATATACGAAGCGTTCACCACTATTCGCCAACTACCTACCGCAGGTAGCAGCAGGCTTGTAATACTAAACAGGACGCTGAAGAAAATAAAAACAGCAAAGGCATTGTCAATCCTGTCAGGAGTTCATCATTACTAGTACATAGATCATAAATTCTTGTAGAGAAAACCATTCCGCAATGCTCCCGAGACCCGGGGATAGGTATCCGTCAAGCCAAAAACATACCACCCGAATTCAAAGAACCCATCCCATTTGCCATGATACTCACTCACGCGCCCTCCTCATCTGAGAGCAGCTCACTCACAATAGAGTCACCGTCACCCTGCCGCGTGTTCTGAATCACGGTATCATCGCTATTCTCGTCTTCCTCCTTGATATCAGGCTCCATAGTAACAGTCTTGTCCTCGTCGGCATCGTGCAGCCTCGAGGACGCAACGGAACCGGCGACAGACGGCGCCACTGAGTCTGCACGCGACATGGCGACGGAGACACTCCTGCTCATGCGGCGCGGCTCGCCGTCCTGCTGCTCGCCCAGGTTGGCAACGATCTTGCCCAGGCTGACGTGGATCTTGTTGAGGGCGTTGCGGCCGGTGGTATCCGTGACGAGTTTGTCGTTGACGGCGATGGTGATCTCGTCGTAGACCTCCCTGATCTTTTCTTCTGTGCTCGTGGGCGAGATGTACAGCTTTCCGAGGAGAGGTGCAACCACCTTCTTCTCTTCCTCTGAGATTATGGGTTAGCACCGATGTTCTTAACATGGTGGAACACAATAAAATAACTTACTGCTCAAGTTTCCGCCCAAGCGGTCGAGAATATCCAGGGCGAATTCTAGGTGAATATCACCGTTGACAGTCTTCTTCTCCAAGTCAAGCCCAGTAGCAGGGTTGAAGCACTTGCGAGGATCAGTCCAATCCACCAGGCAAGCGCCAATCGTCGTCAGACTCTCCATCTCCTCATTGACATCGGCGTCATCGTCCTCCAAGTTCTCACGGACATTCAACAAGGCATGCAGAGCGTCGAGAGCGACCGTGCGCATGAGATCCTGGTTCTCCGCCCGTGAGTAGCAGAACACGGGCAGGAAATAGTTGAGGGCCTGCCGGACGCTCTGGTTGGAAGCAGTGACGGGGTCGAAGTACTGGACAACCAGCGTCTTGAGCATCTCCGCTGAGGCTTCCTGATCCGTGACAACACGGCCAAGAAGCAGCTTGGATACCGCCAAGGTAGCGGCAGCCTGGACCTCGGGTGATCTGATGCCCGACTTGAGCGCCTTGATGTAGATCTTGAGCAACGCTGGCGTCGAGCTCAATAGCTGCGCGCCATGGACGTTGAGAATATCAGTGAGAATCTGCAACGCGGTGATTTGTAGGGCAGTGTGGCCCTTGGTAAAGAAGTGCATGAAGAGCGTCAAGTTCTCCTCGGCCAGTGACCTATCGAGAAGGGAGCAGAGACCCAAGCAGACGAGACCCCTCTCACGGACAGGTGCTTCGTGGCTTCGTACAGCTGGGACGACAAGATTGTTAAGCATCGACACCAGGTGGTCGTTCTGCTGCAGGTCGCCGGCGACGTTTGATAACATGCACTGCACAATGTGCAGACACTTCATGTTGATCATGATTTCCTTGACTGCCTTTGCCCTGGCCTCTTCTTCACTGAGCTCGGGACTCTTATTCCGGCTCCCACTCCTCGTTGGGGTAGTGTCACCACTAACCTCGGACCTCGCCGAGTGAAAACTGTCATCGGTACGGTCATCAGGCGCTGGGTCGTCAACAATAGTATCGTGAACGTCGGCAACGGCCTCCAACACCACCGAACAGAACTCCTTCTCTCCGGCGTTGTCCGGAGCACAAATGTCTCGGAGAACGTTGATCGTGAGCTTAGTAACGTCGTCAGGGAGCTCAGGGACTGAGAGGGATTGGCGGAGTAGCGCAAACATCTTGCGACGGCCAACCTCATCGGAGTAGTCAAGAGTGATGGCAATGTGGAGCATCTGCTCAACAATGAACTCTTGCTCTACCGTGTCCTCCTCTTCGTCCTCTTCGCTATCTGCCTGAGAGACCCTCTTAATAGCCTCAATCAGGACGCCGAGGTATCTTTCGAGGTAGAATGCGAGTGTAGTTACTTCAGGCAGCTTTTCCTCGACCAGAGACTCGTACTTGCCATTGCCCTCGGTTCTGCAGAAGTCGTTGAAACTGCGAGCGGTGAAGACAGATTCTGCAGAAAGCGTCTCCCAAAAGTTCTTATCAAAGGTGACAGCTTCTCTATAATCGGGTCTACCCTCCCAGAATCCCTTCATCGCCTCGAGGGCAACGCCATTCTCGACACCAGAGTTTACGACATCGATACGCTCCAAGAGCTCGTGAAGCCCGTCGAAGTTTGGTGGTGCAGGTTCAGCGGGTGGCGCCCCCTCCTCAGGCGGCGGAACACCAGCGCAGTCCTCGATCCAACGTTCGCGGAACAGCCGGCCCGCCGACTTGCGGACATTCTCGTCTCTGTCGCGGAGACCCCATCTGAGGAGCTTCTCTCTCATTGAGAGAGAGAGATGTCGGAAATCGCCGAGGGCGGGTAGCAGTCGTGAGTACACCGCTCTGCGAGTCAGAGCATCCTGATCTCTAGCGCGTTCGAGCAAGTATGGCAGGGTAGATGGGAGAATGGGGAGATTGACGAGAAGTGACCTTCTCACATCTGCGCTTGGATCGTTCTGTATAACCTCTAGCAGCTTCTCGAGAAGGCCGCTAGCCTCGTCATCCTCGCTATCGTCCTCGTTCGCGGCCGCATCAACTTGGTTGCCGGCCAAACGTCCCAGGCCCAGGACCGCCTGTGCACGAACCATCGCCTCCTTGTCACGGATACGCTTAAGAAGACCATGGCGAAGTTTTTGGAAGAGATCGTCGTCGATGGCGTCGAGGGAGTTGATGATGTGAGAGATCAACTGGGTGGACCGGTATCGCACAAACTTGTCCTTGGCCGTCATCAGGGGCAAAATCGTGCTCATGAGATAGCTGGTGAGTCTGGTGCTGGGGGTCTCGGGCATGATGCTAGCATCCTCGTCTACCTCTCCAAGAATCTCGTTGTCTTTATCGTTGGCGTGTCTAAGGAAGAATCCGACAAACCGAATGGTCTTCTCTCCAACACTTTCTGCCTTCTTGATAGGCATGACTCTCAGGACACATCGGACGAACTCGGAGTTGAAAGCTTCCTCATCGAAGTCGCTTGCTGCGGTCTTCTTTAAACTGGTCGGTTCGTATGCGCAAGCTTCCTGGATCTTGCGCAATGTGACAACCAACTTGCGGTGCGATGCCGTATTTCTTTGCGCATCGCGGAAAACAGCACATACTTGGCCGCGGAGCTCACTGTCCGGTCTTTCGGTCGGGATATCTGCGGCGACTGATGAGGAGCGGGATGCTGTTGATGCTCGGGAGCCAAGGGTCGCTGCGGAGGATTTGTGCGACACTGCCGCTGAGGTCCTCGTGGACCTTGTCGATACTCGTGCTGGCATGATGAGGTTTGTTGTCGTGTATTGTCGTTATATGGCGGCGGATCGGTCGAGACCGCGTGAAACGTGGGAAAAGTTGTCGTTGTTAATGAAGCCAAAAAATGATGTGTTTGTTGATTAGTCTGGATGATGGATGACAGGCGTCCCGTTCGCGAATAAGCTGCCAACGCACACAATTACAGTGGGTGACTTTAACCCCGGCGCGTTTTTGTTTTTATCCAGTCTGCAACGGGCAAGTCAATAGACTTCCGAAACAGGTATAGCGCGGGGTCGGCCAACTTCATCCCCGCTTCCCGACTCCAAGTGCCCGCACGTGGTGATAAGCTCAGAAAAAAAATCCTTATCGAAGAATTTGGCAGCAGCGAATTGCCAGCCATTTCCTGCGCAAAGAACGAAGCATCTCCACAAACTCCTACGACAGTTGAGGTTTTCGGCTTTTACCTATTTCATTCCTTTTCTCTAAGAATCATTCGCGGGGATTCTGCTTTGTTTTGATTGCTACTTCACAACATGCCCTCTCCTGGCAAGCCGCTTAAGCGGTCACGAGCGGAGGAAGACGAGCACGATGCTCTCGTCGCAGCCGCTGTCGCAGAGAACATCGCCGCAGACGCTGTATCGGAACCGAAAGCCAAGAAGGCCCGAACAGAAGCCAATCGCTCGCTTTTCGTTCGATCTTTGCCTGCGACCGCCACCAGCGAATCTCTCACCGATTTCTTCTCCGAACATTTTCCTGTCAAGCATGCGACCGTCGTTCTCGACAAGGCGACCAAAGCTTCCCGAGGCTATGGCTTCGTTACATTGACAGATGCCGAAGATGCTACGGAAGCCAAGAAGAAGCTCAACAATATTCTGTGGGAGGGACGCCGGATCAAGGTCGATGTCGCCGAAGCTAGAACTCGTGACGCAAAAGAGAGTGCCGTTGGCGCGGCCGCGTCTAGCGCAAAGCAAAAGCGTGCGGACGATCTTGAGGAAGCAAGAAAAGCCCCGAAGTTGATCATTCGCAACCTTCCTTGGTCTATCAAGTCTTCTGCGCAGCTGGGTGCGCTTTTCCGCGCCTATGGGATTGTCAAGTTCGCCGACCTTCCCCAGAACAAGGGCAAGCTCAAAGGATTTGGTTTCGTTACCCTTCGTGGCAGGAAAAATGCTGAAAAGGCTTTGGAGATGAACGGAAAGACCATTGACGGAAGAACCATTGCCGTTGATTGGGCTGTGGGCAAGGACGAATGGGAAAAGGCCAACGGCGCCAGGGAAGAGGAAAGAGATCCAAAGAAGAAGGAGAAGGAGAATGATGATGAGGAAGAGGAGGATCCAGCCGAAGACGAGAATGCCGGCAAGGAGCTCACCGGAGCCGACGCAGATCTGGAAAACTTCATGAAGAACCACATCATGAATCTTGAGGACGAGGACGACGAGAATGAGGACGAAGACGAAGACGAGGATGATGATGAGGAGCTATCCGACGGAGAGGAAGACAGCGAAGACGAGAAAGAGAAGAAGCCCGCCAAGAAAAC